GTTTCTTTTCTATAGGCAGGCATAACACAACAGCAGAGCCAAACGCTCTAGCAAATCCATCCAGGCTGCTGCTGCTTCGGAGACCCATCAGAAACCAGTGCAGTGTGGCTATAAATTGGATGCTCTGCTCTCCCAGATCACTGCCTGCAAAACACACGTTCCCGGGGAGACAGGTAAGTGTTCACGGTTCGACGTTGATGTCTCTGCATTTTTAGGGCATGTAATTCATAATTTGCAGGAGAGATACTTATGCAATCACAACGTCTCGGTGCTTCTGATATTTGTCAGCAAGGGTTGGGCGCTCTCCTCCTGCTGCTGCTTGTCTCATCTGTCTCTGGGCAGTTTATGCACTGTTGAACTGGAAGGTTTCTTCACTCGGGTTCAGAATAAAATCGCTGCTCTCAGGAGCCAGCTACTTACATGCATCAGATTTCAACACTCCTCAGTGCTTAGGTTTGGCCCTTATTCACTTCTGTATCAGTCCAGCTCAGTGCCAGTATAACTCCAGCAAGAGCCTGACCATCAACCTGAGGAAAGCCTATGGTAAGTCAGGCCTTGTATTGCTAAAAAATAACCCCTCTTACCCCAGCATCACAGGGATGAGGTTCCCTATTCTCTGTTAAAAAGATCGGTAGTTGAATTTCCAGAAGTGTTTTGCAGATGCAGCGTGCGTACTTCTGGGAGGCGCACGAGCTACCACCACTGAAAATCATGTCTAAGAACTTGCTGAGGTTTAACATGTTAGCTCAGTCGTACCTGATATGTGATCACTGCCTCCAGAACAGAAGATACTCAAATACTAGAACAACTCATGTGAAAATTAATACAGTGATTTCACACATAAACTGGAAGTAATGAAGTGTGCAAAACCTTTCAGGAATAAAAGACTGAAACCCCAATTTCAGGAGTGAAAGCTTTGGTTGATTAATTTTTCTTCATCAATAAACGATTTCTCAGGGCTGAGTGAAATAGATATAAAACATCTGCACTTTTAAAACAACGTGAGGAGAGCAGGGCACGTTATTCAGGAAAAGTGATTTCCTAAGTAATTACTTTCCTGCTTATTGAGGTTTCAAGCTGAGCAAAGGGTCAGTGATGAAGGACTGTGCTGTCTCGTAGTAAATAAGGTTAATGTTACTGTACAGCTCTGTTTTGCAGTCACAGGGCGTGAGAATGAACCTGAGTGCAACTTGCAACACTTGCTCCGATATGGATTGAGCTCTCTCTATGAAGGATGGATCCTGTGAGATGGCCCCATCCGACCCATCACCTAGAAATGGGATCGGTTCATCCATGTCCTTTCACTTCCAAAACACCACTTGGATCCTTTCAGTTGGGTATGTTGTTTGAAGTGCTTGGATGGTCTCGGGACCTGATAACTCAAGCTCTACACTGGAAGGGAAGAACACCAACTTCTCTGCCAGAGCCTACGCTGGGATCATACAACAAAGTTTTAGCTTTAGGATGAAGCTGATATACATCAAAATGAAGATGACTCTAAGGTGGTAATTTGTGTCCTTCCTAAGAAATATCAAAAATAGGGAAGAACAACCCAAAGTGCATACCTGGGCTTCATTTGTTTTAGCATCTCTTTCAACGGTTGCGAACAATAGTACCCTTCACCCCGCACAGGACACCTCAGAGGAGCTGTCAGACAAGCATCTGCACTAGAGACGAAGGGCTAGGAGGTGTGAATTTTCAAATGAAGGGGAAAGAAAGCCCCTTTCTTATCACTTTTTCATCTTACTGTTTTCCACTGTAACAATTCTCAAAAACACTATCACAATTCCTGAAAGAGTATTTCCTTAGAAAATTCCACTCCTTTAAGGTAAAATGTTCCCTCGTAGAGAAAAATAAAATGACACAATGACTATCTGGTCCAGTTTCATTTTAAAATTCCTCCAGTAGGAAAACTCAGAACATGTGCAAAGTCCTCAAAAAAAAAAAAAAAAAGCAACTCTCGAACAAGACAAGGCTAACACATCTCCTGCTAGTGCTGCTGGGAAGCTCTGGTTTGGGCTGATGGCCAAGAGTGCTGCCTACAGACCAAAAGTGAAGCCAGCCTCTTTGCAATCACATACGAAATACCTTTGTTTCCCGTATACTTAACGTTTCACTGGCTTATTACTCATGCCAGAGTCCACTGGAAAATAAAAGCATAGACGAAAAAGAACCTGCTATCCTACTAAAGGCCACCACGTAAACTTGAACCAGACATTCCCAGCCAGAGCACATACGCTCCTGTGTACACTGTGGTGCAGCTCTGAGATGCGACATGTGCATCCACCGCTTCGCAGAGCCATCTGCTTTCCCCAGTTTCATTTTGTGATCCCTGTACAAAGCCTCTAGCCTCGCTTCGCTTAAATTCCCCCTCGGCAGACAGCTGAGATGGAAACATCGCTAGTACCAAAATGACAGCACATGGGAGATTTACCTGATGGGAGCTGACTCATCCCCTTTATCGAGCCAGTCCTGCGGTGGGATTATGTACATGCACCAGAGGCCCCAGTTATAGCCGTGGGCTGCGTTGGCGTATTGCTGCACTTCAAAAGTGTTGTACTTGATATTGTCAATTGCTGGTAAGATGATCCGCTTTCGATCTTCTTTGATCCGGGTAAGTGCAGGTTCCACCCTGAGAACAATAAAAACAGCAAAATGCTTTACAGCCATCCAGTAATCCCAGGTCCTGCTCTGCAGGCCGATAAAACCGAGTTCTCTAATAGTGAGCAGTAACCCAGGGAGACGGCAGCCCCTGACGCAGCGTAGCGGGATCCCGCGCAGGTCACCGTCACACGCGGAGGGGACCGGGGCTTGGTGTGGAATACTCCCCATAGCAACAGCGCATGAATTATGGCCTTTATGAAGCTGTACCAGCGTTTAACACCACAAAATTTTACCAAACACTTTTTCCTGAGGCCTGGAGGCTGTAATTTCATTTTGCAATGGGCAAGTGTTGAGAGTCACGATCACCAAGAGGAACGAAATGGTCCCCTAACGGCCACCCCACCAGGCTGCCTGGTAGCGATTAAATACCTGCTTTCGCTGACGAGGCCTAAAGAACAAAGCACACACCAGGGGACGAACGAACCTGAAGGTTACCCAAAGGTTTTAATCTTGTTTCCTAAGGACAGATCCCATCGGATCTCTTTTGAATGACAAGTCCGGCTGCATTATGCCTTCTAAAACCTCTTTGGCGATGAGAAGATTTCAATTGCCAGATGGTGCGAAAGCAGCGAGCTGCAGGAAATGTGCCATCATTTCAAAAGGCTTTAAAACGGCTTTCAAACATCAATGCGCTTTCAACAGAAGCTACACCCCAAAGTGTTTCAGGAAAGTAAAAAGCTTCAGTCCAAACATTCATTTCTGACCACGGTAGCCTGAAGTTGCTGTGAATTTACAGAGAAACTGCTCCAAAGAGGTAGCAGGCTTACATGAGGGTGGAAAGCATTTCTCAAGGCAGCATTAGAAACAGCCACCGGTTCACTCCTTTGTAACTGTGTTTCCCCTTGAAATAAGCTTTGAGGATTTTGCAGAGCTCTCACATGTGTCTTTAAGGGAATGGTGGTTTGCTGCAATTCACAGAGGCAGTAGGATTTGAACACTGATCTTTTCTCATTATTCTTTTGTTGGTGGTTAAAAGGCAACAAAGGTTCCTCTGTGGTTTCAAGTTTGTTACCTTTTATTTTGTTTGTTGTCTTATATTTAGTTTGCTACCATGTATTTTCTTGTGTAGGCCAACAGAAATGGACAAGTTATGAAATTAATTCAACCGCCATTTTCAATCTTCGCTGCCTCAATCTTTGCCATCATAATTTTTCTGATCTCCTCTGCAAGAAAACAGCATTTTCTCTGTACTTGAATATGGCCAATACAGTCTTTTATGTACACAGACTCCGTATCGCTTACATGAGGACGTGTACTGCTTTCTTTCTCTTCTTTTTACTCCTCCCACATCAGTAAAAAGAGACACAGATTCAGTGAAACCTTTCAGTACTGATGATGAGCTACTTACTGCAAATAAACCATCACAAAACAATGTAAAATAAGAGCATAACTGACAAAAAGACAAGGTGTCATGGCATTTCATTTGGAGAGAATTCAAAGAGAGTTAAACCAGTTTTATTTGGATTCCTCTAGAAAAATGACGTGTGAATTTATCAGCTGGATGCCAGTAACACAGAGCATGGAAGTGTTAATAAAAAGCATGATCTCACGCATGGTGGGAAGGGAAGACAGTCAGTGCAAGTTCCAGAAACTCCCCCTGGCCAGTAAGGTTGTGAAAGAGATGTTCATCTCACATACAACATGCATTGTTTTTTTAATCTACTTGATGTATTCTGGGACTAAATCTGGGATGCATTGATTTATTCTGGGAATCAATCTGGAATGATTGGAACGGCCTGAGGTCTCCCTTAATACTGCCTGCCATCTGCAATTGTTGGTGCAGTCCTTCTACTGTAAAAGGCCAGTCCTGCAAGGTACCAAAGACCTCCACAGAAGCACAAAAGTGCATCAGTCCAGAGATGTGAAGTACATTGTAGGCTTTAAAATATTTCCTTAGTCAGGAGGATCATATGTTGTTTCTCCCCCCCCCCCCCTTTTTTTTTTGCCATGGCATTTAAAGAACTGTACCCCAGTCTCAAAGGAGATGTTTTCTTTTTTTCTGTGGGAGAGACAAGAACCAACTGAGATTCAGGACAGTGCGGTACATGACTCAGAATGCGAATTTGTACGGTCTTTAGGCCATGCTCATGATGCACTCACATAAAGAGCCAATGTGACCTACCAAACCAGGATAAGCCACTTCAGTTATTAATACAAGATTACATTTACGAGATTAACTGTTTTAAAAACCAGTGGGTGGACAGCAGAAAAAGTCTTGCAACTCCAATAAAGCAGGGAAGAATGCAGAAATCCTGAAGCCCTTGGGCACTGCTTCAACGGATCTGGTGCAGAAGGGAAGACAGAGAGCAGCGGGATTACGTCCTCCAGTGAGATCTGGTGCTCATGAGAGAACACAGTTGCACCCAGTGACTCCCACAGCATCCACACATTTATTATGTTTGGGTTTGATTTGCAGAGCTGCCCTGCAAAGCAGGAAAACTGACTGCACGCCTTCTGAAGCAGAAACCGGTAAACTCGTTTCCTTTGTAAGAATCGTATTCTGTCATTCTTATTCACTACTGTCTGATTCTGGAAACAGGTCTTTGACAAGCAAGGAAAGACTGGGAGATTTTAAAACTATTTTGATCTCTCTTGGTTAGAGTTCTTTGGCCAACAAATTGTCAAGTCCTCAGTTATTTGGATGTTTATATTGATACAAAGTAAGACCATTTAACCATCATACTTAAAAATATCCATGTTGCTTCTACAGTTCCTCCTTTGCCCATTTTGCAAATATTTTACTTTGAAGGGTAGATTGAGATAGAGTAAAGAAAAAGCTAAAAGAGATAAAGAATTCTTCTCCCTTAATGTCAGATACCTGCAATAGACCCCCCCTGCATCCAAAGTAATTGCCTCAAACTTTCATTCTCAGCAGAGAGACAGAGGCTGGCACTTTTAGTAAGATGCTTCTCATAATAATGTAGACACCGAAAACAGGTGAGATTAATAATGTTAATAATGTTCCAGAGGAGCCTATTTTGAATAGAAAGGGAATTTAGCCTGCTACTTTGCAAGACCAGCTGTCACCAAACTACTCCTGACACTCTAGAGTTGACTGAATTCCTGTGTTTTTCCAGTTGTATGGTTTACATTTACTACCACCCAACTTGGTGCTTTGCATCTGAATAGCACAAGGAGGGATCTCTGGAGGGTAATACAATGGTTGGATCAACATACATGATGAAATTTCATTAATCTCTATCAACGTATTAGTTTGAAATCTCAGATTTTGAACTTTCATGAAATCTGAGGTGTCTGAAAGCCATCCATGCGATGGAAGTTCTGTTTTTGTCCCCTGCAGTCAATAAATGTAAATGTTGAAGATATTACTACTTCCACACGTGTTGTAACCTCAGGTTACAGATGAAGTAAAACACCGTGCCAAGGTTACGGAGTGAATTGGTATGAAAGCAACTGCTGGAACTTCATTTTCACAACCTCCCATCGCCCCCAACGGAGGTGATGTTCTTCCTCTCTCTGCATCTACATATATGGAAGTCACATCCCTGCAGGTTTTAGGAACAGGAAAGGTTCAGTATCTGGACAGACCGTGCATTTATCTAACTTCCAAAATATGTTCACACCCACAAGAGAGCAGGCTCTGAGTCACAGATGGAAAGAGAAAATCCATTGCAGAGTTGTTCTCTGTTACTTAGCAAAACTCAGAATAGAGAGCCTTTTAATTAAACATTGTACACCTGCGAGATTCCACAGCTTGTCTTGCTCGATCAGGGACAGCAGAAACAGCCACGGGGATTGAGACGCCAAGCCCCAGCTCAGCTCAGGGACATCTACGGGAACATTCAAATCCCGGATTCTGCCAATGCCCACTGCACCGCCAACACTGCTTGTGCTCCATCCTCCTGCCTGCCAAGATCCTTTGGTAATGGCCGATGAAGGACTATAAGCTTCAAGAGGACCGGGTAATGGACTGTGTTTACATTGCCTATCTTAGGCTAGGGAAGTCCAGCCTCTAGTGGCTCTAGCAGGCTCGATGGACTCACGCAGTGCCTTTGTCCCTGTAAGCTGAGCTGCACATTCATCAAATCCTTTGTCAACTTTGCTGGTAATTCTGGCTTTGTCTAATTGCTGTGGGTTTTTGAAAGGATTGTGATTAAATCTTTCCTAGTAACTCTTTTTTTCCTAATTTTAAGCTGCTACATTATTGGGTAGATTTACTTATCCTCTTTATAGACACCACTGTTCTTTCCCTGTTTTTTTCTCTCCCTTGTCCTGTTTTTTCTACTGTGCATCTGCAGAAGTCAGGTGCTCCTGGCAACTCCCAGGACTAAAAGGACAGAGTGGAAGAGGTCGCTGAAGTCCAAGTCTGTTTAACACTCTGTGCTGATGAGCTGTAGTATGTTGGTTGAGCATTCCCTTTCCACATGGCCACTGCTGGCAGTGACGCAGGATTCAGCCCTGCCTGATTAGGACCATAAGCCAGATGTGAATTTTGAGATTCATCTCTATTTTTCACAGATGCAAAACTGTTAGGTTTCTAGTTTGTATCTGAGTCAATGTACTTTATGGGCACAGAGTAGCATATATTGTTAACAAGTTATTTACTGGAGCAAGAGGAAAAATTCTCCCAGGCATTTTCACAGATGTGATGGATTTCAGTAAACTAAATATAATCAAAAGATTCAGCTTTAAAGGTGGTGCTTCACATCATCCAGTTCTTTTTTCCTCCTAATAAAAACAAAGCAGACAATTTGGACTGGAATTTGAGTGACATAAGAAGTTCCTCCCTCCCACCCTCTGTAAAAATATATATTTGTCAGTGTCCTCCTCTCACTCTGAGCAGATTGCTGGTGAATGGTTCAAGCCAGAAGAGAAAGGACAGTAAATTCAGTTATCTTACGGACTTCACTAAGCTAAAGGGTATTTTGACTTGGGTTTTATTTCTCTGAAGCAATTCCAGAAATACAGTAACACGCTGCTGAAGTCTCATTCCCAGGACTCAGCCCT